CAAAATGTTTGAGTGCACGCGGACGCGCGATGAATGAGATTTTTCGACAAAAAGAAATTATAGAAAAATTATATGTAATTGTATATCGATCATACTGTAAATATAGTGGCATATAATTTTCTTTTCGTCATCTTTTCGATGCACGTCTATATACATACAATTGTACTTGGATATTGTGCAGGACGACAAAGCGAACAAAACTATTCACGAATCACAGTGATACGCGCATTGGTATATAGCCAGGTTTTCTTACCTAAAATCGGTAAATATTTGTACGAATCGTAGTGAGCAAATGTTTCCTTATATTGGCAATTATTTGAACAGTGTAGCCTTTGCCTTATCAAAATTTGTATTTGTACGGAAAATGAAATTGTAAATATTTGTTAGATTAGTGTAATAGTACCTTGGAAAAGTCGACAATTTACTACACTAGGTTCTGTTAAAAATAAAACAAAACAAAAAAAAAACAAAAAACAATAAACAAACGTAAATAAATAAAACAAAAAATAATGATGAAAGAAAAGAAAAGAAAAGAAAAGAAAAGAGAAGAAAAAAAAAAAAGAAAAAGAAAAACCGAAGGAAAGAAAGAAAAGAGAAAAAAATGATTCCTTTATCAGCGTAACACTCGATTTGTCAATGTTTCGTTCTAATGGGTATCCTACGCGTATATACAAAATTTCTTTTATGATTTTTATATCGATCGTCTAGAATGAATAATTTCACTTTTGCCAAGACAATTTTTATTGGTTTACCGTAATAGTAATAATAATAAATAAGAAGAAAAAAATTTTAAAAAATATGAAAAAAAAAAAAAAAAATAGAAAGAAAAAAAAAAGAAAATATCACGCGGGTGACGAAGTTAAGGGGAGGTTGTATTAAGTGGCATTTTCTACTTGATTATTATAATAACGAGAGGAGAAGCTACTGTCGATGCGATTCTTTTTATATAATCTTTGTATTGTTTTTGGCGCTGAGTTTTCGTCATTGTATACGCTCGCGATTCTTTTTCATAAACAAACGCAGATTAAATACAAATTGATAACCCCCCCCCCCCAGCCTTTCTTTACTATCTTTCATTATATTTGGAAATATCGCACAAATATAATAATCTCTAAAACACAAAGAGAATAGATAGATAGAGGGGGAAGATGAGAGAGAGAGAGGGGGAGAGTGGGATGGCGAGGGGCGGTAAAGGGGGGAGAGAGAGAGAGAGAGAGAGAGGGAGAGAGAGAAAGCAAGAAACCTAACAACCACAGTGAAGTTAAACTGATATTTACGGACAGTTCTGTGCAATAATTGCGTTTCTTTGAGCTATGTGCCCTGCCTTCATTTAAAAAATTTTATACCGTGTATTACAGTGAATAATAAACTATTATTATTATTATTATTATTACTAACTTACGTACTCACCACCACTTTTATTTCATCGAAAAATGTTGTTTTCATGCTCTTTTCCAAATTAATGTCAAAATTCTCATTATCCTCCTATTTACTTTCCTACGTCATATTTGTCATTATCATGTTTCAGTCATTTTTTTTTTTTTATTTCTTTTTAATACACCAATTGACATATTACAATTATCGGCCTATACAATGCGCATAAATTATCATCCTCTTATATACGTATCAATATGGTAATTGAAATTTCCCACGATATATGTTTCATTTGACAAAAGAAAATATTGTTAAGGCATGGACGAATTATCATCGCGTCACGTCGTTTTATAACATTAACGAGGTATTATAAAATTTTGCCCGCATATAATTAAACGTAATGATGTTTCTCATTGCCATACGCCATAAGTTGATTTCTATTAATAAACATAATTATACCGGGCAATTTTAAAACAAAACATTATTAAAATTCTTAGGTCAAATCCGTTTGCAAAAAATACTCATTAAATTACAAGTTATCAATATTAGCATTGATTGCTAACGTAACGTAATATAAAGCATTATGACGTTACATAAGCAATTATATTTTGCACAATTTTTTGACAGATTTTAAAATACCAATTTCCTTCTCGATTAGGCCACGTAATATTGCGCAAATACAAAGTATTCCTATTCTTTCTTTATAATGGGGCTTCGAGTGAAAATTGTACAATAAAAAGTATCGAGTTCTTAAACTTTCACATCTTTATTACTTTATAAAAATATTATAAATAATATAAAAGTAAAAAAAAAAAAGTAAAAAAAAAAAAAAAAAAAAAAAAAAAAAAAAAAAAAAAAAAAAAAAAAAAAAACAAGAAAACAAGAACTTTGCGAACGGTATATAGAAGAAATATTTACAATTATTTCGATAGATAAACATCGAGTTGCTTAATAAAGTTTTCAATCTCCATACTTTCATTATCGTGTATAATCCAATTCACAATATTATATCCAAGCAAAAATTTAATGGCTATCGGAGAGTGTTGGCCACCAAAACTATTCATTTCCTTATCCTTTCTTTCACAATTGCGACTAAATAGCTTTAAGCTTATTAAATAATCGCTGCACTCCTTCACTGGACTCCTCCAATCATCTAAAAGCTCCGCGTAATCATTCGCAATCGCTGTGCACTTGACGCTGGCTTCAAAAATTCTTATATGACTATTTAGGCTTTTGTAGATCGCTCGCGTGTCAACCTCGCGCTTCCTCAGCCGTCTCGCCAAAAATGCAATCAAGCAATTAATCAGGAAGCTTATATTGCTCAAGCAGCCGATATGAGGAAATTCAAGGCACAGTAGACACGTCTCAAACGTTAAGCGAATAATATTGTTGAAGATATCCGTTGTGCTTGGCCATTGAAGGAATTGGCCACAGGACGCAATTATTTCGTTCGTGTACTTCCTGTATCGCTGCTTTGTGCACTTCAGAAGCAAATATCTCAGCAAGTGCTCTTTATCCAGGGCCACGTCATTTTCCTTGGCGATAGAAATTTTGCTTCGATAGAGGCTCGCAAATATGCCAATTATATCGAGCAAATTCAACGCATCGGCATTACCATTGCTTAAGCCAAGCATAATCATGTAATAATTCGAATATACATGCTCGCTGCTTTTATCGAAATCGGTGAAGCATCTCTGCAGCTTGAAGATCACGGCTATCAGGATATCGACCGTATCCTTGCGAATATCATTGCTATTTAACAGATGCACGGCTATTACCTCCAATATCGTAGCCAAATCAGGTGTTTGATTAAAGTCATATTTGCCAATGAGCTTATCCAGTTCGACGAGAGTGGCTTTGAGATAAACTTCAGAATTTGCACTTAACAAGAGCAATGGAGTGAGTATCTCTTTCACCGTTTCTACCATGAAAAAGCAATCTTCCTTCAAGCTCATCAGTAAATGAGCAAACTTGTTTATGGCCCACGCGGGCTTTTCCAAGCAAATCTCCTGTAATACTTTTATTACTAAAGCAACGGTATTTGGCTTCTCCCTGTTAGGCTCTTTTTTTTCTTTACGCGTAGCGCTCCATTTTTGGTAGAATACTTTTGACTCTGAAAAATAACGTTTAAACAACTTTAGTATTGCCGAATTTTAAGGAAGAAGACAGAGAAGAAATGCTTGTTTTTTTTTTATAATTGTATAATCAAAAAAGCGTATGCATAGAAAGTTTGCCAATCACTTTATATCCATCCATCTTTGCTGATTATATTATCCTGTCTTAACATACACACATAATTTTTAATATATAATTTATAATAATAATAATAATTTAATAATATTTTATAATAATATTTTAATAATAATTTAACAGATAATTTGACAAATATTATTGTCAAAGGCTAGGCTGAAATTGAGCGTATATATGTTAATAAGGAACATTTCTACGAATTTCTTTGTTTTGAATTAATAAAGTCTCGATGATTATTCTATACAAATAAATGATAACTAATAAAGAAAGCTTTAACGATAAACATTAGCATATGATTTAGTTAATAATTTGTTATTGTTAAAATGTTGGAAAATTTTAGATTCTAATAGTCGAGGAAAATGCTTTATTATTACTACTACCGTTAATTCACCAAATTTACTTAATAATTAAGCGAACCTTTTTCTTTATTATGAAATTCTTCGTACAAGGACTCCATTATCGTGTCATAATTGCTCGGCAAACGTATCCTTAACATATAATGTAGCTTCGACAAATTACTATAATTTACGTCCATAAACGAATAATCAGAATGTTTGATTATCATTTTCAGTATGACTTTTAAAGTAGATTTGGCATTCAAACATAAAAAATACATGATAACCGCCATTTTAGATGTCGTATTAATGTATGGATTTGCAATTATGTGCCGTTCAAGGCTCGCTAAATCAAAGATAATTTCCATTCTTTCATTTTCGCAAAAGTGAAAAATACAGTATAGCGTTAGCTCATAGAATAGACTAATGTTTAAACAAGACATGAGCTTCACAAATCTGGCAAAGCTTGTCAAAAGCTTTCCCTCTAAATCCCACTGCTCCTGCTTACAACTAAGTTTTTTGGCAAATTGCTCGATAAGGTTTTCGCAAATCTCTTTACTCAATAAAGAAATGTCAAATTCCTTACAATTGGCAAATAGACTAATCATGTCGTCTACGTTTCCTTCACAAGCGCCATCCAATAAATTTTCTGCCTTCCGATTATTCGTTGGTTCTGGTTTGAAAGACAACAGATTACAGAATTTTATTAATTCAGCAAACTTTGCAATATTTGAGTAATCGTAATCCTTCAGATCATTTATAAAACTATCCGATTCTAAGCCAATGGCACGTTGCAAGGTCAAAGATGTCTGTTCTTCGTCGTTGTACTCTACCCAGTCCATCAGCATATCGCTGGTAATTTCTATCCCTTTATTGAACAATATCGTTATCAGTTCACGATCAATTTCTTCAAGTATCTCTTGAAATACTATATTATCAAGTTTCTCAGAATATATTCCATCTACGGATATTAGATTGTACCTGTCCATTATTTCCCCCTCATGTTCGATACTTTCAAATTTAGCCAGCAAGCACCTCTTTACCATTTTAAACATTTTTTTCATAAAGATACCATATATTTTGTATCGATTAGCTTCCGCATCGTTTTCAGGCTCAAGAAACCTAAAATGACAATATTGATACAATTAATATAAAATAGATGAAAATGTATACGTTAGGTCAAGGATAAAGTTTCAGTTGGAAAATGTTGGTGTACAGCTATATCGTAGCCCATGCCCATTAATTAGTAAAAATTTCACCAATAATTTCAAAGATTATTAAACATTGCAGTATTCCCCACCCGTTCCTTATAACCATATGATTTTTCTACAAATTTTCTAATGTGTGAGAAACAATTTTGCGCAAGTATTAATTATATTGCTTCGAGCATTATAAAAATAATTCTCATTTATTATTTCTGAGTATATATTTTACGTTTCATTCTAAGATTTTAATGGCAAATAATAAAGTAAAAAAAATAACCTTTCACTGGTGAAGTACAAAATAAGTTCTTGTAAGAGTCCGCTCAGCTGCTTACAATTTTCAATAACATTTTTACTAACATCTCCAATGTCTCTCGTAAGGATAAATTTTTTGTAAGTGTTAAAAATACATGACGTTAGGAAGTCGGATGCTCGCAGAAAATTCAATGAACCCATACATCTTGGTAAAATTTCAAGAATATCAATGCACAAGACCAAAGGAAAGTACAAAATAGATTCTCCTAGAATATTCTCAAATCCAATATTCCATAAAATTTCTATAAATAGGTAGGGAGAGAGGGGCGGTTGTTTGTCAGATATATAATAAATAGTCGCGTTCTCAGCTAACGATGACATCGAAGCAAAAGTTGTGTTGCAAATCAAATACTTGAATGCGTTAATTTGTAATTCGGCCTCATTCGAAGAATTTCCCTCGATCGGTGTGCAAAAGGATTTACAAATATTTTTTATATCCAAACTTAACGTTCGTATGACACGTAAATTTTCATCCGTCGAGCGAGACGTAATATAACGTAACGTCTGCTTTTCGTTCCACAATATACTTGACTTTCGTATTTGACCGTATAAATCATCTATGGTTAAGGCAGCTCGCCCGTCATCTTTTTTTTCATCCATGTCTATACTGCAATAGAATGAAATATTAATTTAAAAATACAATGAATTAAAATATACTTAAGTAATAAGTGCTATGTACAGCTTTAACGATGCTTGGCATACAAGATCTATTAAAATATTTATATTAATCATTAATCGTATAGTTTTTGCGAATCATTGGCAATGATTTTAAAAATTTCAATTAAAAAAAATGTAAGTAAATTTGTATAGCGACATATTGTAATTACATCATTGAAAATGATGTTCATAATAGACTTTTGTATAAAAAGAAAAAGAAAAAAAAAAAAAAATAATAAACACCTAACAAGTTAATGCCAATTCAAAAGTAAATCTAAAATATTTTTAATCTGTTTAAGTATTACACAGATAGGATGATAATCTAAGTCACTTATAAATAATATTTATTCAAAAACTCAGCAGCATTACAGGAAAAGGTGGGCACCTGTGGCAGTCTTATCTGATTTGTAATTAAATTCGTAAACATTGTCTAGAGCGATTGTATAACGATATAAATATAACTGACTGATTATTCAATATTCAAAGAATTTGAAAGATCTCTATTGATATATAATGTCCCTCCAAGAATCTCAATAAAATATAACAGTAGGAGCTTCTTAAAATGAAAAAATCAATTTTCCCAATAAATGGCCAAAGATAATTTTGTACCAGCTTATATTATCTTCGATTAATCGTACGTTATACTTATCTATCTACTCACAATATATGATGAAAAAAAATTGTTGAATAAGTCAACAACAGAATCGTAAGTGATTGTAAAAGTATTTCTTCTCATTAATTAATACTTCACTTTAAGCACAATAACCTTAGTAATCGGCGGACTTCAGTAGAGTTTATTTCGAATAGCTTTAACACTTAAATTTATTTTCACCATTGTTGTCAAGTTTTCCAAAATGGTACGATGCTGGTATATGGAGGAGAGCTCGTTCGACCAGCGACTGGAACATCACTTTGATCCCTGCCAATATTTGAGTTTATTAGAACTCTTTGATTGCACCGGAGTCGAGTGCTTTAAGGTTATAGGTTATTTAAGCGACACTTTATTTACACTCTTAGGGTAATCATTTCCCTCGCATACATCCAAGCCAAAAAACTCTTACCGTCAATATAAATATATATATTAAAATATGTAAATATATATTTATATTTTAATGCAGGCGCGCACAGCACACACGCACGCACACTCGCGCACATGCTTATGCGTTCGTTTACATTACATTACATTACATTAGATGCGTTCGTAATCATTCCATCGCTACGATCGCTTAAATTGTTTTCATTCAATTTTATTTCATTATTTGATTTGATTGTATTAAGAATTTATTAAAAGTAAAAATCATTTCTGCTTAGTAGAGATGTACAGTAACTAGAAGGTAAATATAGACTTTATATGCGTTCGCTTTCTTTATACAAAGATTAGATAATAGTTTAATCAGCTTTTCTTCTTTATCTTATAGAAAATACGAATAGCAATGCCAATTCTATAAATGGTGTCTGAAAAAAAAAAGTAAATTATAAATGTATTTAAATTACAGATATTGTTTTATCATTATCGCATTAAAACTTTAGAAAGGATAAATTTCTATTAAATTTCACCGTCGTATTTGTAACACACAACTATATATATATATATATATATATATATATATATATATATATATTCCAAAAGTCTTAATAATGAACATAAATTCAAATGATTATTTCGGAAATTGAAGTATTTGATATTTACTTTGTAAATAACATATTGATTGTATTTTAATTTATCTTTAGGTCGATCACGAAAGCTATGAAACCGATGAAACTTTAAAAAACTTAAGAACCGAACGTGGCTACACATTCGAGGATGAGATACACTTCCACTCAGGTTCGCCTAATTATGAAGAAAAGGTCAACAATTTCACTTCAATATTACTTACATTTTAATTCTTGTACGGATGCACATAAATGTTGATTCGCCATTATAAAAGCACTATCTTATCGTACAATCGACAATCGACAATCGATTTAAGTTTAAAATTAATAATGTTGTTACTTTAACAAATTTTATAGCTACAAAATTTTTATACCGAACACTTGCACACTCATGAAGAGATTCGATTGATAGTCGCTGGTTCTGGTTATTTTGATGTTAGAGATAAAGATGATAGATGGATTCGCTTAAAAGTTACGGCTGGAGATTTAATAATTATTCCAAGTGGTATTTATCACAGATTTACCTTAGATGTTAATGTTAGTAACACACTGAATATTCATTTTTATATTGTAAAATATCACATAGATTTGTGCAGTTAATGCATTGTAAGAATGTTTTACAATTTAATACGGTAACAAATATAAGTTTAAATCATTTGTTTTAGAATTATATAAAAGCAAAGCGCTACTTTATTGGAATACCAATTTGGTTGCCTTACAACAGACCAGCCGAGGATATGTTTTGTCGAAAAGAATATTTGGAACGTCTGGAACAAGGTTTCAAAGTAGAACGCTTAAATGCATAAACAATAAAATGTAGATTTAAAAACTATCAAAATTTATTATCTATGTAATATATTTGGCGCTTGAGCCAAGAAAAACATGTTAAATAAAGTTAATAGTGCAAATATTAAAATTAGTCTTTTATTATAAATCAAACATTTAAATCGAATCTTGCGATAATTTTGTATCAACTATTAATGTAATTTATATGATTTTAAATTTTTAAATTGTAAAGCAACTGCTAAAAATAACATAAAAAGATGCGATATGATTAAACGAAAGAATTATAATACGTAAATTAGACTATAGAAAGCATTAATAAAGTAATTCGAGATACTTTTAATTCTTAAGATAAATATATTTCTTTCGCTATTATTAATGTATTTAAATACTATGACGGTATTATTATTATTGCGGTTACTAATTTACTACCATTATTACTACTACTACAACTACTAGAACTAGAACTACTACTACTACTACTACTACTACTACTACTACAATTACTACTACTTATACGATAGTTTAGTGTCAATTAAAATGTTTTTTAAATGCAATATAACTCAATCTTAACCTTTTCCACAAACTGTTCGAGTCAAGTTCATTATTTCCTTAATTTATTTACATTCTTACAAATTTGAATCTATTGATAATGAATAATTAAGTGTCTATCGGCATCTTGTGCCATCATTTCATTTTCCTATAATAATAATAATAATAATAATAATAATAATAATATATATTTATTTTATCAATGTGATTAAAAAAAAAAAAAGAAAAAAAGAAAAACGAAACAATTGTAAATACTTTTTAAATAGCAGTTGATTAGTTTTGCGGCCAATGTTATTTTTATATTTTTGATGTCAAAATCATAATTCAGAATAGAATTATTATTGTCAATATTGCAAAACGCTTTGAAATTTTGATTACTTAAAATACTGAATAATAAATTTAAATGATTATAAATAAATTAACTTTAAAATATTACACGTATTATCAAATGTACAAATCGAATAATCAAATCACATACAGAACAATAGTCTCTAATAAACATTTTATACACATAATTGTCAGATAATTACATGTACGCTCGTATACATGTAAATTATTACTAAAAGAATGCACTTCCAAGGCATTATTGACAACTTTTTCTCAGAAAAAGTCTGCAATTCCTCATCCCAGAAGATCTAATTTACACGACATTTTAAAAATCCGCTTCGAGTGTAAAATTGCTTGTTCCAGCATTTCTTTCGTGCATGACACCCCATTTTTGATATTCTCCAACCTTCTTCTCAAAGAAATTTGTCTTCCCTTCCAATGAAATGTGCTCCATAAAGTCAAATGGATTGTCAGAACCGTAGATCTAAAATTAATTATTAAAATTATTATTAGGGCGTAACACGTGTAAATCTTCAAACGCAATGGAGTAAATTCAGGCAAGTTAATAAAAATTAGCCACTCCACGCTTTATACCACTACATACTCCATCGTTAATACTTATTGTATGTATTCGACAATAATTATGAAGAGCGCAATGATAAGCATTGGATAGAAGGGTGTCGATCGATCGATACCTTCATAAGCATTAGAAAAGTTATTTAAAATTTTAAATTGTACTTTGGTGCATGCAAAACGACACACACACACACACACGCGCGCGCACGCACATACCTTGGTACATCCTAATTCACTTAGTAATCTATCTGCAACGAATTCAATGTACTGGCACATGAGCTTACAATTCATTCCAATCATTTCTACAGGCAAGGCGTCGGTTAAAAATTCTTGTTCGATAACAACTGCGTCTTTAATTATAGAAATAATTCG